GAACGAGAATCAACGGGGAAAGGGGGATCAGTGCGGGACAGGAATCAGCGGGAAAAGGGGATCAGCGACGAGCGGGGCCATGGAGAAAAGGGGATCAGTGGGGAGCAGCAGTCAGTGGGGAACGACGGCAGCTGCGGGAGCGGGGATCGCTGGGGAGCAGGGATCAATGGGGGGCGGCAGTGGCTGGGGAACGGGATCAGTGGAGTAGCGGGGTCAGTGGGGAACAGGCGTCAATGAGCTAGCGGGGATCAATGAGGAACGCGGGTTTCTGGGGAATGGCCATCAATGGAGGATGGGTCAATGGGCAGTGGATGCATGAGGAATGTGAGTCCCTGGGGAATGGCCATCAATGGGCAGTGGATGCATAAGGAATGCGGGTCTCCAGGGAATGGCCATCAGTGGAGGAGCACGGGGGGCGGGGGGGGGGAAAGAAGGGGTCGCTAAGCAGTGGGTGCCACACGCAGGGAGGAGGCTCTCCCTGTTCTGCTCACAGAATTACCAGCAGTGGTACAGATTGCCCAGAGAAGTGGTGGATGCTCATCCTTGGAAACGTTTGTAGCCAGGTTGGACAGGGCTCAGCAATTTGGCATGGTTGAAGAGGTCCCTTCTCACTGCAGGGGTTGGACTGGATGGCCTTTAGAGGTCCCTTCCAACCCTAACTATGGTACTGTTCTGTGCTTTCTAAAACTTACATGAGTTTTAGAAGTCCCTTCACTGGATACACTCCAGGACCTCAATGTCCTTTTTCAAGTGAGGGAACCAAAATTGCATGCAGTGTTTGAGGTGCCTCACCTGTGCCAAGTACACAGGTGGTGATTCCAGCCCCACCCACCCTCAGGTGCTCTTCTCTGCCTCTTACCACCCTCCCCCCGAGCCAGGTGAGGCTGGTTTTGAAACAAATGTTCCTGTTCTGGTCATGTGTAAAAGAAGAGAGGGCCCTAGAAAGGAAGAATCCCACAGCCTTAGAACCCTTGAAGCTGCGTCGTGTGGTTCAGGTTGGACATCAGGAGGAATTTCTTCATAGAAAGGGTGATTAAATATTGTCATGGGCTGCCCAGAGAGCTGGTGGAGTCACCATCCCTGGAGGTGTTCAAGGAAAAACTGGGTGTGGCACTCAGTGCCATGGTCGGGCTGGCAGGGTGGGGATTGGTCACAGGTTGGACTCAATGACCTCACAGGTCTTTTCCAACTGAATTAATTCTGTGAGCTCACTGCAAGGCCTGACTTCTAACTCAGCTAAGCAGTATATACAACCCTCACCCCCAAAATAACCCAAATCCAAGAATATTAAATCCACCATCTGTCACCAAAATGCTCAGCAAGCAAGCAGGAAAATAACCAAATTATCTGCCTTTGCATAAATGTGGGTTATTGTAGCAATTACACAGGCCTTCCAGAAAATGGCTCATTTCCTTGCCAGAAAAACATTTATTTTGTGATCCTCTGTCACTTAGTCTTACTTTGCATTTCTGCTTTTCAGCTACAACAAACGTTAAAAGAGCTTTAGACCAATATATTTATTGTATCTATTCATGAGAGATTTTTGTGGGGGAAATAAAAAAGGGAAGCACATTAATTCACCTGAGGTAAAAGGCTTCTGCTCAAAAAGGGTGGGGATGCTTTTGATGTGAGAAGATAGAAATTGACCAGCTGCTACAACAAGCATTATCTCCCCTGGATTAATGCACTTCTTCCACTGATGCTTGGCTCTTACCCTACATGAGGAAGAAAAACACATTAAGCAATTCCAACATTTTGAACAACAATGAAGACAAATGTTAATAACAGAATTGCATTTATTTTTATCCGAGTTCCATTGATTTGAAGATGAGAGGAGAGTGCAGCTCCTCACACAGCTGTCTTTGAAGAGACACAACAGGCTGTGCTTTTGTTCATCATTAAAAGTTATTACTTTAAAGGGCTGGCTTCATAACAACTAAGAGACACCCTGTTCAGCTCATTTTAGAATAGTTCTTCCTTCTACTGCCAACATATTTGAATATCCAAGCCTGCCCTGCTGCCTGAAGCACAACCACAGTCTTCCAAGGGCCTGTACTTCCACAGGCTCCCAGACCACCATCTTTAGCCCTACATCCACCCAGGACACACTGCAAAAGCAGACAGCGCTCTTCCATCACCACTTTTTGAGATCTTAACCTATAAATACTCGCAGAAAAAGAATGTACAGGAACAGAAAGCAGCACTGGTATCATCTGAGCTAAGTTTGTGTGGAATTTCCTTTTGCACAAAGAGCTGGGAGGGGAACAGGGCAAACCTGTTACACCAGCATGGGCAGGGAAACCAGTCCACACCGAGAGATAGAAATGCTCCACCAGTTCCAGGGAGATAAAGGCCAGAAATACAAGTTTTGTATTTTGATGGTACATTAGAATAAACCATACCAAAAATTATTACAAGTTATCAAAATTTCTGTGGACAGAGGCTCAAGTCAAAAACTAAAAAAACTTAGTTCTAGATGTTGCAAGAACAGGATTTTCCCCTATTTTTGACTGCTTTTATTGTTTAGCCTCAGACTCTCCAAGGCAGGGACTGCCACTTACATTATTACTTTCAGTTGTGCAGAGCCCAAAACAACAGGGCCTGCAGCTTGGCTGGTCCCTAATTAATAATGTAATTAGCAATGACAGGAGCATTAAGAGCCTTTTATGCCAAAGTTGATGCTGGAAAGCTCAGTGGGTTCCAGTCTCAAAAAATAACTGAAAATTACACTTAGAATTGAGATTATCTAGCACTTCTCCACTGAGTTTGCACAATCCATATCTGAGCAAGAGAAGCTGGGTAGGAATTTTCCCTCAGTCAGGCTGAGAACAAGACCATGCAGATCTGCTATCCAGATATGGGCCTATTCCTGTAAATTCTCTGTTTATCTCCCCTGTTGTTATGATTCAGAACACTCCCAGATTCAGCTCCAAAACCCAGCTAGAAGCAATTCCATTTTTAGAAAGCCAGAAGTTTGTTTAGGAAACCCCAATCCCCCTTGAAAACAGCCAGGTTCACTGCTAAATGATTGAGAAACCATGTAAAGTAGATAAAATAAATCCCTAAACTGCAGTTCAACCTAAAACTCTGTGTTTGTTTACTTATGCAAAGGAAGAAAAATCACAACTCTCAGAGCGTGGACAAGCACTTCCAGCTTCCAGGAAACAGCAGGAAGAGGATGTACCTTTCCCCCCAGAGTTACCACCCTTACAGCTGCTTCCCTTTGATTTTACAATTCTACCCGAATTATCCATGTCCAAGATAAGGAACATGGATGTTGCTTGTAACCTCTCATACACTGGGACCGAAACAGCACCAGGAAAGGAAGGGGACACACCTTTCCTAGAGGCCATCATCATCATCATCACAGCTGTTTCCTCTCTGCTGTTACAACATTACTCCGATCACTCAGACACACAACAGGGGACCCGCGGTGCTCTTTAATGCCCCATCAGGGCTCAGAGAGGCCTGAGCAAAACCTGATAAACACCTGATAAACGCTAATGGCCCTGGCCAGCCTCACCTGGGGCCTCTGCCGGCCGATCCAGGGGCTGCATTTAAGCTCTGGCTGAAAGCTCAGTGGCTTTGTCCTGTGTTTTAAGGGGGGGTCCTAGTTCCAGCTCAGGCTGTGCCTGGCTGTATATCCTCTTGCTATGGAGCCTAGCTCACATCTGACCTCACCTTAGACTGCCTTGTTCCTGTGGGCCATCATCAGACCATGACTGACCTCGGTTACCAGCACCCAAACTGTAGATGGACTTCCCAACTCAGCCTTCCTCCTGTCTCATTGCTGTGAACTCAGCAGATCGCCTCGATTTTGGCTGCCTCCAGCTCTGACCCCTGGGCCTGCTCTGCCTGCTCTTCCCTCTTTCCCCAGGGACTGTGGGACTGGATCCTGAGCGGCTCCTGCCCTGGGTCTGTGTTATCCTGCTCATCTCCCCACCTCACACCTGTGCCCTGGCTCACAAAAGATGTTATAAATGTACCATGAAATGGCAATCTGACTCATTCTGTGCTGAGCTGTACCTGCAGGCTGTTCCTCCATCGTGATTTCCTGACACTGCTGATACCTTCCATCCAACGTCAATAATTCTCCATAATACACTTAAAAAAAAACCCCCACACATTCTGTGATGAGTTCTAATTATTTGATTAATTACAATTAAGGAGTAAAGAAAAAAGATACCTAGGCTAAGAATAACAGCATGTACTGGGAAGAGCAGACTTGGAGCAAAGGGATCTTGTGTGGAAGGTACAATGAAACAAATCGACGTCACAATGAAAATTATTGTTACAACTCATTAATGACAGTCAGAAGCTGCTTTCTGTTTTGATAGAGATGTAAATTTAAATACAGACATCTTTTAACATACAAATTCTTAGAAAAATGCATAGCCAAAGAAAGTAAACATGTTATAAATCCTATTTTTGGTTCATTTTGTATAGGTAATTGGGGAACTTACAGGTACTACAATATCCTAATAGTTGGTGAAGAAACATTGGAAAAAAAGGATCTTCAGAAAATTTCCTTTCTGTTGCATACAAATCCCTGATTGCTAGGAATCATCCTCAGGCTAAAGATGATTTTTCTTCTGAAGGAAGGTTCTGAAGGGAGCTCCCAAAGGAACCATTCTCAGCCTAAAAAAGGCTCTGCAGGTGAACCAAATCTCAGAATTAGAAGAGAATTTCTTGACCACTCAAGCAGTCAAAGTGCTCCTGATATTTGTTATCGGCACGAGAAGCTGTGCTGCAGCTGTGGTTGCAAGCAGCTGTTTCTCAGGAGTCAAAATTCCCCAGATTTCCGAGGCGATCCATGCACAGGGATTATAATAATTACAATATTAAAACAAAGCAAACAAACAAACAAACAAAAAAAAACCCCAAAAAACAAACAAACAAACAAACCCCCCCCGCAACTCCCCCACCCAAATTCCAAGAAAATGTCTAACCGGAGTTTTTTAGAATAAATCATCCGATGTTTGCAGGTCCGTGCGGTGCAAGGGCTGATGCTGCCAGGACATCTAGTGGCACACATACGAACTGCCCAGAGAAAGAACATTACTAGAAAAACAGATTTTTTTTTTTTTTCATGCTTCCAGATATTTCCTGGTATGAGTCCAGGTTTCTTTGGCTGTTGGTGAGATTTCTCTGTTTGTTTTTTCACCTAAGAATATACAAGGAGGAAATGAAATTGTGGGAAAAAATGTAGAGGGACATCTGAATCATCTCTCTAAATAAAGATGGGATATACTACAGAATCTTGATAAAATAAAAGGTCAAGGCCATTGATTTTTCTCTCCCTTTTCACCCTCACTTGCCAGCCCAGTTGTTTATCTGTCTCTAGACAACAGAACTTGTACAGCTGTTACTCCACACACTGAAAGGGAAAATCAGAATGTCTGAGTTTTGGGGAGCTGAAAACATAAGGCTCCTCACTGAATAATTAGATTTATTGACATTGATGGCTTCCCATTGCATAGTCTTTCAATTTTTATATTTTTTAAGCAATGTGTCAGCCAAAAAGCCATTTTAATTGCCCTTATTCATGTTCACTTTTCTTCTTATGTTACTCTAATTTTGAGCAACAAGTGATGGAAACCAGGCCCAATCTGCTTTTTGTTTTATTTGTAAATGTGACTACAACTACTAGTTTAAATAGGTACAAAATAGTTTAAATAGGTGCAAAACAAATACCTGTAAAGCAGCAGAAATCCCTTTGTTTGTTACATATTTTTCTGGCTATATTCAAAATCAATACTTTAACCCTGGCTTTAAATAGAAAGGCAATTTTCCTGTTGTTTGGACTACCTGATGTTCAGACGTCTGCTGTTGCCATAGCTCCCAGGAAGAAGCTGGAACTTGCTGGTAGATCCACGGCTGAGCTGGAAACAGCCACTTCACCCCTCCCTGTAAACAACCATCCCACATCTCCCTGTGGACGATGCTGCAGGGCTGAGGTAGGAAGAGCTTCAATCTTTTTTGGGGTTTTTTTTCCTTTTGGTGTCACCCCACAGAGGCTGGTCCGAGGGAGGCTCAGGGGGGTTTTTTTGGCCCCCTCTGAGCCCCATGGCCACGGGGGGACCCAGCACCCACGGGGGGACCCCTCAGCCAAGGGGGTGCCGGGGCTGAGGAGGGACCCAGCGCGGCCTGGCTGCTGCCATGGCCCTCACGGAGGGGCTGATCCGGCCTGGGGGGCACCGTGGGGAGCAGCCCGTGGGCAGGGGCAGCCCAGCAGAGCCCGGCAGGACCTCAGGGGGAGAGAAAAGGGCGGGAAGTGTTTTCCCCGTGGGGAAAGGCTGAGGGAGATGGGGGTGCTCAGCCTGGAGAAGGATGTGTGGAGACCTCACAGCATCTGCCAGGAGCTGAAGGGGCTAAAGAAGCCGGAGAGGGACTGTTCGGCAGGAACTGTAGCGACAGGAGAAAGGGGAGTGGGTTCACGCTGAAAAAGGGAAAATTCGGGGCTGAATATTGGGAGGAAATTCTTCCTTGGGAGGGTGGTGATGCTCTGGCACAGATCGCTCAGAGAAGGTGAGGCTGCTCCCCGGGAAGCGTTCACGGCCGGGTTGGACGGGTTTTGGGGGCACCCTGGCGCAGCGGGAGGTGTCCCTGCCCGGGCAGGGGGTGGCGCTGGCTGAGCCCTGAGCGCCCCCCATCCCCAACCCCTCCATGACTCCCTGACAGGAGCCGGCCCCGCCCACCGCGGTCACGTGACGCGCCCCGCCCGACACGTGACTCGCCTGACCCGGAAGTGGCGCGCGGGGGACGCTGACGCTGGAACAAAGATGGCGGCCCGCGGCGCTGGGGCCGTGCTGGGGCTGCTGCTGCTGCTGCTGCTCCGCGCGGGCCCGGCCCGCGCCCGCGTCCATCACCTCACCCTCAAAGTAAGGTCTGCGCCGCCCCCGGCCCCGCTGGCTCGGCCCCCGGGTGCCCTGAGGGGAGCGGTGAGGCCGGCCCGGCCCCGCGCACCTCCCGCGGGCCGGGATTGCTCTCCCCACGTCTCTCTCTTCGTTCTGCTGCGTGCCCCGAACCTTCTTTCTATTCGCTTCTCTCTGAGCTCTCCCCCTGCGCCTCAGCCCGCCCGGGCCCCGCCTTGTTCTGCTTTTGCCGTTCTCCTCCCGCTCCCTCTGCCCGCATCCCCGAAGTCCCGTCCCGCTTTTTTGGCCGCCTGTTTCTCAGTCGCGGGTGAAGCGTGAGGAGGGGTCTCGGAATTGCAGCAGCGTGAAGGTGCAGCTGCTTCACGTTCCGTTAAAAGCGATGTGATAAGAGAGGGCCGAACGTGGATTTTGGTTGAGATTCCTTTTCTGCAGTGTCCTGGTGGCTCCGAAGGGTGTTGGGCTGCAGCTGCTGTGCCCTAACCGAGCAGTTAGCAGAGGCTGAGGAAACATGCTGGCAGCTTTCTGCTTTGGTTCTAGAGACTGCCGGCTGTGCTTTGGAGGAGTGATGTGCTAGGCTGTGACTGGATTTGGGAGGAACTCGTTGTTCGGGGCTGTTGACGGGAGTGCTGGAGGTCAGGTCGAGCTGTGCTGTGCCTGAGCTGCTGCACAGCTGTGGGACAGAGGGGCTCTGCTCTGCGGTGGTGCCTCGTAACGCTTCTGCAGAGCTCGTGGAAAGCTCTTCAGGATTGGAATTTTGTTTTGGTTGTCAACAGCATGCAATATTCTGCCAGTAGGAGCACTGGAAGGGGTAATAAAGTGGTAAATGGCTGGGTCCTGCACTGCTGTGCTGTTGTAGGAGCTTGGGGAGAATCCAGGGCTTTGCAGCCTTTGGGGTACAGTGACTGCTGGAGCTGTTCATGTTCTTACTTGTAGGAAATTCTCCAGCCTGTGCAGTTGTTTGAAGTGCGACCACACGAATATTGTTGTACTGCAGGAGGAGTAAACTTTTTCCTGAAGCAGTCAGTTAGGAGGCTGTGCTGGTTACATCGTTGTTGTGAGGAGTTTGTGACAAACAGTTGAGCACTGAAGGATTTCTCCTGAGGGGATTCTTTACCCTTTAGAAGAAAGCTTTCCAATAAACCTCAAGCAAATGTTCTCAGCAGCAAACATCGTGGCCTTTAGTCCCTATGAGGGACTGCCTGGATCAATTACTGAATCCTGTTTGGTTTTTATTCCTGTCAGAGTGGGGTATGGGTTTGGTTTTGCAGGTGTTTTGTGCAACTTTCAGCGCAAACTTGCTGTGAGAAGTATCAGTGAGTTAATGCCTCTGCCCACCTGCTTTATAAACAGCTTCATTGTTAGAGCAGTTGAGCTTTATTGTTGGAGCAGTTTCTCCCTTCCTCCTTCATCCCCTGCTTTACAGCCTCTCTGTAAACATCAGGCTCCAACAACTGAGTCCTTTCACAATGAGAGCTCCTGTCTGGTGTTCTTGCCAGTGGCTCCTGCTTTGCTTGCAAGTGTGCATTGACACTGAGCCAAGCTAAAGGCCACAGTTTTGTGGGAGTGTTTGATATTAGATTTCCTCAAACAAGCTGTTATTCCTTAATTCAGAATAGCTTCATTCTTGTATCTTTGTAATTACTGTGCCAGTGTGAAGCTTTTTTGTTGTCAGAAGAACAAGCCGCAGTTCCCAGTTCTAAAAATAACATTTTATCTTTATAAAAATGTACAAAACAGTTGGGGTTTTTTGCAGTAATTATTTGCATGAATTTTGCTGTTAGACTGCCCTTGCCAGAGAAACTCCTCCTTAGTAGCAATTTATCAGCTTCATTAGTTTAATGAGATATGTAAAAAAACCCAAAACACCTCAACTAACAAAACGTACCTCCTACACAAAAAAAAAAAAAAAAAAAAAAAAAAAAAAAACCTACAAAAATTGGAAGTTATAGAAAACCAACAGAAACAATTTTCAGAGGATTCCAGAAGTAGCTGCAGTTGAAATGTTTCTCTTGACCAAAAAGGAGGACTGTCAGATATGGAATTACAGAGAAGATGCTGGTTTTCAGTGGTTGCTTGTAAATACCTGTGGCTTTTCAATGTTGATAGGTTTCAGACTTCAATAGCTCAGGTTGAACAAACCTTTCACAGTAATTCACTCAGTCTTACACAAATTATAAGCCTTCCTGTTGGTCTCAAACAAATAAGAAGATTCTTTCCAGGTAAGGGTCAACACTCTCTAGTGGAACTTTCACTGCACTGACAGTGTGATTCCAATTGGCTTTAGGGTAAAATGGTAGAGAATATTTTTCTGCATGTTCTGCTTCCCTGTAACCTTATTCAAATATTGCAGGAGCACTTTTTATCCTGCAGGAGTGGAAGAACTGGGGAGGATTTTTCTGGAAACAAGCTTGAGAACTCTGGGCATTGGTTTGACTGTAGGCTGTTAGTGATGAATCCCAGATCATCTCTTCTCAGTAGGGCAGGCTTAACTTTAAATGCATCCTATGTAAATTAAATTAATGTGTGTATTAACAACTCGGATGCTAAAGTACTCACTTGTATGGGTTCACACCTTTATTGAAAACTTAAATATTTCTGAAGTCAGTAGTTGAGTGATTATAAATAAAAGCTGGGTTCTTTCAACCCTATTAGTAAGCCAGTGTCTTTAGGCTGTCAGTACGTGGAGCAATTGATGCTCTTGCTGTTGCTTGGTGGCAACTGGTGACAGTGTGTGTGTGTGGGATCATGTAAAGCTGAAGGATTTGTGAACTAAATCTGTAAACTCTAAGCACTCAAAGCTGAGATAAAGCCAGGGAGGAAAGTGGTGTGTGTTGTATATTAATTATCTGCTGGTGGTGGGGAGCATATGGGTAAATTAGCAGAGTAAATCACTTCAGCTGGGCTGAGGAGCTCTTGCAGGTGCTGTGAATTGAGCAGCTGCCTCTGGGCACATTTGCAAGGTACAAAACCTTGTGTCTGCATGGCACCATGTCCCCCTCAGACTCACCCAAATTCTTCTCTGTGCAGAAGGAGTTAAATACATCTGATGTGCCCTGTAAAGAGCCAGTTTGAATTTTCTGCACTGGCTGGGAGGTTACATGGAGGGCAGTGTTAGGGGCACCAGGTGGGCTCCTGGTTCAAGCATGTCCCATGACCTAGAACCCACAGACAGCAGGGCTGTAATACTCTCTTAAACACAGCATCTGCTGCATGCCCTGTGGCACTTAGCTTTTTTTCCCCTCTTCTGAGCATCAGTGGAACCATCTGGTTATTTGCCAGGTTAACTTGATTCTATTAGGGTGATCTTATTACAGCTGGATTGCAGGTTAGCAGTGCCAGGATTAGTGTCCTGCTGTTGCAGTGAGGGATGTTTATGAGTCAGGAACGTTTTGTGCAGAGGCGTCAAAATCAATACTGGGGTAGAGGGAGAGGGAACTTTTTGTACTTGTACAGTTCATAGCTCAGTCTTCCAGGACTGTCTCCAGAACAGTGTGCCTCTGGCAGCTGACTTCTCTTTTCAGAGAATTCTGCAATCTGATTATCTTTTCCTAGAAGAAGCAGGAGGAAGAAACATCTATTCAATTTTTTTTAATTGCCAACTTACAAAACGAAATTCCATTTTAAATTTGCTTTATTTCTGTTGCTTTGTTTCTGCTTTTCTTCCAATTACCAATGACCCAGTAGGTGTGAGGGACCAGCTGCAGGTGTTGGATGTGACCCTTTGTCATCTGATGTGGCAGCTGTGTGTGACGTCAGCTACTTTTCGTGTGAGGTCCTTCATGGCCTCCTTATTTAAAAAAAAGGTTCAAGCTCACTGTACTTGAACCTTTCTCAGCTGAGCAGGGCATGAGAAGAGATCAGTTGCTGTGGTTTCCTTGCCAGACTTGAGAGGAAGGAAATTATTCTGCAGCTAAACCGGGAGTAGAGGAAGGAATTAGATTTTTCCTGCTAGAGAAACTAACCCAAGTAATTCTGGTTTTGGTATTTATTCTCTTCTTATTTTTTAATTATTTTATGCGAAAAATCATTTGGAGGTGTGGGGCTATATATAAAACTTTGTTTTCACACATAGTTTTCCAATGTATTAATGTTTTCCTGTCCAAACATTGACTGTGCCTAATGATGATGATCTGAGGTGTTGACAATGCACTTGCTAAACACTTGGCCAGACCCCAGCTCTCGGTTAGGTAACATCCCCAAGGTCTGTTTCCTCTTCAGTCTGTGGCAATGACAGTAACCACCACTCAAGCAATAGCTGTCTTGGTGTGTCTGCAGTCACTTGGGGGAACTTTGCTGTATGCTGTTTAATCAGTGATGCCAGATGTTTAAATTCTTCCAGAATTTTTCTTGCATATTTCCCAGTAGCATAGACAGTCAGTTAGCAGAAATGCGTCTCTTTAAAGTTCTTGCTGTTCAGGTTATTGGAAAAGTTGGTCCATTCCAGTTAAATAGTTGGTTACGTCTGAAGGTATCCTAAAGAAATTTGCTATTTGCCTAATTAAATATTTTGCATGAATATTCAAGTGTCAATCACTCACCCTGCTTCCCCTTTGCTGCAGCAGATGATCTGCATGTGTTTGTAAACTTGCTTTCCTTTCTAACAGGATGATGTGAGGCAGAAAGTGCACCTGAATACCTTTGGCTTCTTCAAGGATGGTTTCATGAGAGTGAATGTCAGCAGCCTTTCCTTGAAGCCAGAACCAAGCCCTGATGACATGGACAGTTTATCAGTGAGTTCCTTCCTATGAAGCCTCCTGTGAAATTGCCCTTCACTTGTCTGAGGTGTCAAATCCAAACTTGTGATGCTGTTGGCTTTGCTTCCCAGCATGAGCCAGTTACGAGGATCTGTGTATTGAGATTTATCCCTGAGCACTCTCCATTCTGCTGTAAGGATGAACCTTTAACTTGTTGGATCCTCTGCTGAACTCAATGCACACATCTATAACTTATATTGAACATCAATTTCCTAACAGTCCTCTGACAAGTTTTTTCACGCTGTGTCGTGTTACTTTGCAATTCAGCTTGTGATCATTATGTCAGTAGGTTTCCAGAACAGCGACAGTCCTATTTTTAACAGAACTCTAATGTTATGTGTTATATAGCACATTATATTAGGGGTTTTAGTAGAGATTAGATAACAGATCTGAGTTCTTCCTTTGCTGCACAGTTTCACTTCGTCATTGTTATAAAAATATTCCACAAGCAAAAGCATGTGGAATAGTACTGAAATAAGTTAAAATGTTCAGAGACAGAAGATACTCCAGATTTAGTTTAGGTTTGAATCATGATATCTTTTTTTCTTGGTGGATATGGATGAGTTTGCTACATTTGAATGTATTTTTCTGCCTAATTTGATGAGAAAATAACTGAATTCCACCTTAAATGTAGGTTAACTTGTTTAGAAAGCAGTATCTTTGACTCTTTCATAGTGGTCTGGCTTCAATTTGACAGATTGTTCTCAATTGTCTCATAGGTGGGGTTCAGCTTGGATCGAACAAGGAATGATGGTTTCTCCACTTACCTGGTAAGAGTAAGGGAAGTGAGCTTGCTTTTCTAAGGTGGGACATCTCATAGTCTACCTGACTCTGGGGATGGCTGGAAGAAAAAAAAAAAAAGATGGGGGGACTTTAGACATGGGCAGGATGGACTTAAAACTTGCTGGACTAAGAATGGTAACCTCTGTCTGGAGTGGAACATGTCCAGAGGGCACTTAAGAGGTGTTTTGTTCATGTTACCAGGATGAAGAAGTGGATTACTGTATCCTGAAGAAAACTCCAGAGCCAGATGTCTCTGTTGTAATCTTACTTCTGGACATCCGAAATGAAGTGTGAGTAAAGAGTGTGCAAGACATTTTAAAGTTGCTTCCTCAGTTGAAGATAATGTCACACTTGAGATTTTTTTTGGGGGGGCTTGGAAAGCTTCTGTGCATGTAGGTTGGGTTTTTTTTAAGAGGTTACATGCCAGTTGAGAGGAGGTGAGTGTAAAACATCTGCAGTATAAAATGGTCCAAGAATTCTTCCTGCATATTGGAGGGATAAAGGGACAGCAGGCAGAAACAACCTGCCTTAATTGTGCTGAATGAGCTTAATGAGCTTTGATGTCTTGAGTCACTTTTGTGCTCAATATGCAATTTTATTGTTTGTCTTGAAATATCTTTTATTATGGAAGTACCTTCAAATCTGCATTGCTTTCTTTTGCAAGAGTTCATGTGTGGTAACATAGTTTCTAGTGAGACTCTGCTTACCAAAGCTGAAGAAACTTAGTTTTCTTCATCTGTTCTTGCATTTCATGTAGAGGTAGAGTGTGACTTTTCCCACACTGATCAATTCTGCTGTGAGTCATGATCTGGTTCTTGCCTGTTCTGTATGGTACAGAAAACAAGTCAAGACAAGTTGATTTTCCTTTATTGGGTATATGGCTGTGACAGATAGCCTCTTTAAAAATGTTGGTTTACTTTCATTTTGTAATAAAACCTCTTTGTTTCTTTAGTGTGAAAGTACGGTTCTCTTCAGAAGCTGCTTCTTTGTTACCTAAAATTTTATTTGTATCTGAGGAAAATGGTACTGCCTTAAATACCAAGCTGCTAAAAACTTCTGAACTGAGCAGTGATTCTGATAAAAATCCTCCAAAGACCAATGAAAATCCAGATGACAAAGGTAAGCCAGCTAAACCTGACCTGTTTGTGCTCTCACTGCTGATTCCTCATTGCTGTGCATCCAGCACTGAGTTGTGGTCACATTCTGAAGTCCCCTGGGTGAAGAACTTAATGTACCTCCTGTTCAGAGCTGTGGGGCTGGAGTCTCCTGCTCAGTGATTTGTGTTCACCAGCCCTGTTGATCCATCAGAGAGACATTGAGAGTTGGAGACCTTCAGTGCATCTGAGGAGGGGTTAACAACTTGGTTGGTTTTTGTCTGGCAAAAAGAAGGTGCAAGGGGGAATTTTATGGCCACCAACAACTAGTTGAAGAAAGGTTAGGAGGCCAGTGGTTTCAAGCAATTTTTAGTACTGGCACACAATGTCACTTTCCCTTTATTAAGTCTTGGATGTCTCAGATGGGATGTTAGGACAGAAAATAAGTAAAATAAATAAGATAGCTTTCTTAAATAAGTATTCCAATATTGTAGCTAATCATTTGTGCAATCCAGTCTCCGTATTTTGTGGTTTTAAATGCTTGACAAAGTAAAACCAGGGCCAGCATGATATGGTTGACATCAGGTGTGCTTTGAGTCAGAAGTTGGATTTGTCTTCACAAGTCCTTTCCAGCCAACATTTGTATGAGTCTGTCTGTCTAAAGAGTTGAACTCCTATCACTTAGAAACTATGGGGAAGAAAGAGTAATTGTACCAGTAATCTTTCTAGGAGGCACAAGCCTTTGTCTGGCTTCCAGACCAGCAGACAAAATAATTTTATAATCTCAACTCTAATGGGATTAGCTCATGTTATCCCTTCCTGGCAGAGTTTAGACCCCAGATCAGTCTGCTGAGCAGTCTGATCTGGAGTAGTCTGAGTCTGTCTTGGCCTGTCACATTCACAAGGTGTGATACAGCTTGGACAGCTGTTGTAACGAGTCAAGAACCAAGGGTGGATGGCACTGGAGAGAATGCATCTGATGGCTGTAGTTTTGCTTTCTCTGGTGTAAAAAGTGTAGCATGATTGTGGTCAGTGCACTGAGGTGTGGGAGCCAAAAGCAAAGCTCAAGTCTTGAACTTTTGCTCCCTCCTAGAAAGGGATGACCTAATGTTTGAAAAGCTTCTTATAGGAGTGCAGTCAAACTGTGAACTTGACATGCTGCTCTACTGAAGGTTCCTGTCACCTCAAATTCAGAGAGAATGCTGACCTGGCAGGTCACCTGTGCTTTTGTGTTTTGTTGTTTGTACTTTTACTGGGAGCTTAGTGGAAAGCTGTGAATTTATTCTTTCCTCATGGTTAATTAGGGTTTCCATATGTTTGTCAGGCCATGTATCAATGCTCAGATTGAGATTTGTCAGTGAGATTAATAATACTCAGTCATAACATAAAAAGTCAGAACTGTAGCTTGCATCTGTTTAGGTCACCTGCCTCTGGTCACTCTGACCAGAGAGGTTGGAAAGATTTCTGGGGTAGACTTCTGTAGGAGGTGTAAGACTAGAGAGTCATATCCTGGCATTTGAGGATGCATTCAGAATGAATGCTGGCTGTGGGCAGAGTCCTCTGAGAGTAAGAGACTGGGAAAGCTTCTCTGTCAATGATTAGCTGGGAAACTGCCACGCAGACAAGTGTAGGAAGATGTGAGTAAGGTATTGACAACGTGGTGGTTTCTGAGGATGTCTAAATGCAAACACTAAATGTACTGTTAATACTTTTATCTCCAGATAAGAAGTCCAAACGAAGTACAACATCCTCCCAGGTAAGAAAGTATTTTAGTTCTCTTTCACAAAGAACCTGGGGGGATATTCCAGTATAATCATAGCAGAAAAGTGGAGAGTATTTGCTGTTGCTCTCAGCTTCCACTGTAAATATACAGAATGCAAATTTGATTGTCTGCTTGATGTAGCCAAATGTTTTAGTTACCTGCTTAAGGAAATCTAAAGGTCTCTTTCCCTTTTCCCAGAGCATGGTAGAACAAGAACATCCTGTACGCCGTGTCAAAAAAACTTTTTCATTTCAGGGCCAGTGTCTAAACTCAGTTTCTTCACTGTCCTACTTTGGAAAAGTGAAAGTCTAGGATATAGATGTCTCTCTCATAGCAGGAGTTTGCCTGAAAATTTACTGAGCTAAGCATCAGTGATAGAAATCTTTCTTTGTAAGTTGTGGGAGCTGCTTTTAAGTTGGCTTTGTTGTGATGCTGTTCTGAATATCATAGTTTATGAGCCTCAGCATATTAAATTTTACTGTGATAGTAGTGCAGATTGCTGATAACAAATAGCTGTGACCTGACTGATGACTCAAGGGGAAGATCCTCTGTATGAAGCCAGATTAATGCTTTGTTTGAACACCCTGGTTCACTTGTGATGGTTGGTTACTACAAATACATTTGAAATTCTTTTATCTGACACAGATCTCATTTCCAGAGCTATCACAATTTGCATAGTTGGGGGAGGAACTGAAAAGCTGCAGGGCAGGTATAATAAAAACTTTATGCTTTGCCATGCCAAATATATGATACTTGTGGTTATCTTTTCTCTGTGGTGAGCTGAGTTAAGCACTGACACTTAACAGGCTTGGATTACCAGAGTGCATAATCCTGGATAGGTGCAATGATTTTGCATCTGGAGTTCTGTTGAAACTTCCACATGTGCTGCTATCCTCAGAACAGTCTGCTGAAGGGAACCAACTGACCTCAAATGACTGACTTTTCATGCTTCAGTAGAGATGACTTCCTACCAGGGCAACCCTGTTGTGAATGAGAAGAATGCTGACTTCTCTATTCCTTATTTTCAGTTCTTTTTTAACATCAGCTCGGATAAACAAGAAGGTCTCTACAGCCTGTATTTCCATAAGTGTGTTGGCAAGAAAGGGCCAGCTAATGATCAGCTGCTGTTTAGTCTTGATGTGAGTATGGCTTCTAAAGGATGATTAACTTGTTAGCTTAGACTGCAACATCCAGCTTCCAGCTCCAACTTGTAACCAAGCACACGCTGCACATGAGTGCACATATGGGGTGGGAAGTGATTCACAGTTGTGTGCCAGTCTTTGCAGTGGCATTTCTGAAAGAAGTGACTACTGTAAAAATAATTAAAATACTGTTTTTGCAGAAATGCCTGAAAATCTGAAGGCTGAATGTGGGCTGGATTCAGTCTACACAGTTGTGACCTGATGCTGTAATGAGATGGGAGCTACAACAGCTGCTTGTGTTTTGCTACACTCAAAAGTCATTTTTCTCTTTACATGATTGCAGATATTAAGGCTGTTGCTGCAATGTAAATTGTTGGTATTTGAATTCAGTGTTTTTGCTTTTTCTGGCCTAATTAAAGATGTGTTTTTATGGTGTTAGGTACACATCCTAAAGGCAATATGTTCTAGCAAATGCCTCGTCTCTTTTGATGTACAAGGGTTTGGTCCTATGTGGTTTTGGTTGTTATCAGAGCTTGGGTTTTCCCTTTTTTTCCTTTCCTGTGCTCATGCTGGTGTACAATGAGCTGGTCTGGTATGAATCCTCTCACTGGCTGAGGTACCTCAGCCACATCAATCCCTAAAGTGCTTTTTACATGTTTGTGTTAATGCTATTGCAAGGGAGCACGGAGGTGATTAAAACTTAGCAGCCCTAACTTGACTCAGACTACTTCAGAGCTGCTTCTGAAGTTACAGGTTTAGAAGACCAGCTTTCCTGAATTGCTGTGTGGGTCACTTTGACCCACTGAAGAAATTGGAAAGAGAACAAAATGTGCATGATTGATCTGCTGGGGTGTACTTAGAGACGCAGGACAGCTTCAGTACTTCAGACTCAATGCTTTATTTTATTGAAGTCCTAGCACATATGACTAAGCCACTTAGGGGTATAAATAGAATGCTAAATAATGCTTCTGCTTTCTCAGTCACAGGAAAATAGGGTGGCAGCCCATTGTAGATGTTGTTTCTGAATCAAAGGTGGGCAAATTATGACGTTTGCTGGAGAGAACAACTATTCTTTGGGAAAATTACCTTTCTGAATTATGTTGCATAACTGAAGCATTGTTTTCCAAGGGGATTATTCTGGTGGGAATAGTTTTGCAAAATGTTTTGAGAATCTTGAGGATGAAGAGTAGGTTTTGCTTTTTTTCTTTGAGACTCATAAGTCACCCCTTCAGAAAAGCTCATGTTAAATGAGTGGATTTGATTGCGAAATGTAATTGTTAACTCAGTGCTTTGACAAAATGATTTTTTTTTCCAACTGTGCATGTAACACACCTTTAATATTCAGATAGATATTACGGAAAAGAATCCTGAAAGCTACCTCTCAGCAGGTGAAATCCCTCTGCCAAAACTTTACATTTCCATGGCTCTCTTCTTTTTCCTGTCTGGGACTGTATGGATCCACATCCTTCGTAAACGCAGGTAAGTTCAGTGTCTGTGACAAGTAGGGGGCTACCTTGGTTTTTATTTTTCATTCCTCCTCTTGTAATGCCCAATTCACGGTCAGATTTGATCACCTCAAACTCCAAATCTGGCTCAGATTTGTGTGCTTAATACACATAGTTTATATTTGAAAACTGTTTCAGTCAGTATTGTTGTTGCAGACTGTCATTCTAAAATTCCCAAATCTCATGTTGAAAGTTCTTCAGGTAGTGTACATACTGTGGCAAAACATAGATAGGAAGTTCCTGTAGTTGATGTCAAAAAGAGATGCCTTTGAAAATAAATAATGAAAAAAAATTCATCATTCATTTGGGAAACTGCAACTTACAGCAGTAGAGAGCCATAAATATCTTGGTTGTGGTTAGCAAATTTTCTAACAGTTAAGAGATAAATATTTATATATATATGTGGGATGTTCTTATTAGTTAATAATTTCAATTATCCCAAGCAGTAAAAATCAGGGGTTTAGAAACATGAAGTTGAAATATTGCTCAGGATGTGGAAGCAACTTGGACTGCAACATTAAGGGGAATCTTTACACTGATGGTCAGCTCAGCCTGGAGGCAACTGCTTGACACTTACAGGTTTTGAAGAAATATCCTTGGAAACGGAAATTTTTACTGCTGGCTTCTAAGTAATGCTCTTTCTTCTTGTTTTTTTCTTGCCAGAAATGATGTCTTTAAGATCCACTGGCTCATGGCAGCCCTTCCTTTCACCAAATCCTTGTCTTTAGTCTTCCATGCGGTGCGTACAACATCTCTGCCTGAAGTTGTTCAGCTAGAAAGTGGAAACGTGGAATCTAGGACATGCTGTTAGGGAAATCTGCTTTGGAAGGAGCACAGTGGGAGGGAGAACTGGTCTTAATACTGAAGCATTAGAATTGAACTGCAGCTCTTTGGTGGAAGTGTTTGTTTTCATCAGCAAGTTCTGACTTTAAATACAATTGAGATCATGGCCTGAAGTGTTGAAGCAGCAAGGGTTGAGGGTTGAATGAATTCCACAAATTTCAATGTTTTGGCCATCTGCAGTGGGCCTGAAAGCTTGAGCTGTGCTGCTGCTTCAGCTCCAGGACTGGCAGTAAATATTAATAAATGAAAACCTTGTTTGTAAAATTCAAAGGCAAGGAGGTGTTATGGTGTATGGCAGCAGACCTCACCTTATCAGCTCTGAGACTTTCCATAGATAATGTCTCTGAATTGTATTGACTTTCCACTGCAAATATCTCATGAACAAAGGTAATGGCAAGCATTTAATCTTTCAGTGTTTGTGCCAGCCATGATCTTCACCTTCATGCCCATGGTATTATACCTGCTACAAATATTTTTGGAGTCTAATGAAGTGAATCTGGCTTCCAATGAAAATGAAATTAGCAAAAAGCAACAGAACCTGGAAAATGAATGAAAAAATAGGTTCCAACTGCAGTTGTTTCACTGTAGTTAAGCAGGGGAGTTGTGTGGGAAGGATGTAGATTGTACAAGATACATCCACTAGCACTTAGGAAATAGAGCAAATGGAAATGATCTCATTGTTGCTAAACAAAAGTAGAATGTGTTGGGAGGAAGTGCTCCCTGAATGTGACAGGGCTGGGTTTGTACACACTGACTGGAAAGTGAAACTGGCAGTGGATGTGGAGCAGACCTGTTTTTAGAGGGTGGGGTGTCAAAAGCAGCTTGTAATGTGCTGTATTTTCTGCTTCCAGATCGACTATCACTACATCTCTTCTCAGGGATTCCCCATTGAAGGCTGGGCTGTTGTTTATTACATCACTCACCTGTAAGTAATGAAGAAGATTGATGTGATGTGATAGATTCAAATTGCCACTGGGGCTGTCTCCCTCCTGTACAGAGTGGGAAATCTTGGTACTGTGGTCTGCATGAGAACAAAGGACTCAGCAATCAGCCCTGTGTGAAGGGGAAAGCTCCACTTACAGAGGGCAGCTGCAGAGAATTGGCACTTCTGTGGGTGGAGGAGTAAAAGGATAACAAATGCTTTACTTTTCTTTGTTCACACTAATATTCAAGTATCTAATTTGCTCCTGGTGTGAATGGTAAGTGGATACAGCTGTCAGTGTTTGCTGCTGTTCACAATGGTGAATGGATGACTCCCCCAGGAAAAGATTGCATATATTGTGAATGAAGCCTAATACTGCTCTGTGATACAGAGTTGTAGTGAGTACATCTGCTTCACTATTGTGGGATGGATAAGTGCTTGCCAAAATTATGGGTAGGGAAGCATTTGTTTGGGTTTGTGGCTTTATTGGCAGTGGGAGAAACCTGGGCAGAAGAGGAAGTGTGATAAAATAAAATAGTCTCTCACTGCAGTGTCTGTTTCTCTTCCAGACTGAAGGGAGCTCTTCTGTTCATCACTATTGCCCTCATTGGCACAGGCTGGGCTTTCATTAAACACATCCTGTCAGATAAAGACAAAAAAATTTTCATGATTGTCATCCCACTTCAGGTGAGGACTGAGCTGTGCTCATACTTCCTGTCTTGTGGGAGAGCTGCTTGTGCAAACTGGAAAAGGCTGTGCAAGCTTCACACAGTACCATGTAGTTCTTGCTTATATGAGCCTATTGGCTATTTCCTAGTACAGAAGCTACTGTAGTTCTCCCAATTTTTCTCCCATATTGAGCATGAGATAATAGTGATCAAGCAGTTTCAGCAAATAAAAACTGGCTATAAGGAGTGGGGCAAAACTTGGGCTGGAAATTCAGTGCTGAATAAGTAGAGGAAATGAATTAAAGTTGTCACTGCTGAAATGCTTGCTTGAATGTCTTAATTAAATAAAAAATGGGAAAAACAAGACTTGTAGGTCTGTTGGGTCTCAGGGAAATATTCCCAGTGGTTCAGAGTGCTCAATGCTGGTCTCCTACTTGAGGAGCTGAAGTACATAAGAGAACAGCACTTTTGTTTGTTGTTTTCTGTAGAAGAGATTTTCTGCCTTTCCAGATGCAAGCCCTTAGCAGAAATATTTATAATAATTAGTGTTTGAGGCTCTTACAGAGCTCAGGTGTGGAGTACAAAAGATGGTAAATGGCCAGTCTGAATTACTGGCTTAATTTAGAATTACATACTTTCTCTGTTGGCTGTATGTGCCACACAGTCCTGTGTCTATGTTTCAATAAGTAAATTTTGCCTTTTTTTTTTCTCAATTGATGCAGTAGATTAAGCACAGTATATAGCTAAATAACTACTTTCTGAATGTCAGCAGGAATAAGTTCCCATCAGTTTTATTTCTGTAAATCTAATGAAGATGCTGCTGAACATGTGACTTCTGGATGTAGAGCTGCAGGAAAATTACTGATGTTACTGGCTGGCTTTTTCTGAATTGGCAGCCCACCTGTAGTGGCTCCTTGGGCAGTCTCTAAACCAGACCCATGTCTTGTTGTGTAGGTACTGGCAAACGTGGCCTACATTATCATAGAGTCAACAGAGGAGGGGACAACTGAGTATGGACTGTGGAAAGAAATCCTTTTCCTGGTGGACTTGCTGTGCTGTGGAGCCATCCTGTTCCCAGTGGTATGGTGAGTTGCTGGATGTGAAAATATGTGAATGAAAGGACCTTGACAGCTCTGCCAAAGGAAAAGAGCTTTGTGGTCCTGTGGAGTCAAGCATTCTGTTAACTTTTATATCAGCCTTAACATTTCAGTCTAGTGCTGTGGAATGTGCTCCTTTTGGGGATGTTAGAGTGGGGATAAGGGAAGGTGGGTGGCAGCTTAAATGTTCTGACACTGTGCAGACTGTAGGTGCTTTTGAGACTTGGAATTTTGCACAAGTGTTGACTCTAAGTTGAAAAATGGGATTTGACTTCACTGACTGAGATGAGATACTTGACTGCTAAATTTCAAAACAGTACTGCTGTCTAAGATCAGGGCTGCCTTTAAGCAGAGTAGCTGCATGTTTATTTGACTGTTTATAAGAAATAATCCCACAGGGAGCATTTCCCCGCCCTTCCTTCCACTCTACTTGGCAGGGAATAATGTTGGTTATATAAAACTCAACCAAAACACAGATAATTCAGATAAACACTATTGTTGCTGCTTGCCAGTTTGCCAGAACATTTATCTTCTAAATGCATTTTGTCTTAATTGGATAAACAGCTGGGTTTAAAGGAGGATATCAAGGAGCTTCTGGCTCCTTGCTTAGTAAACACAGAATATTCCTCTTTTTCTCCAGCATCTCCATTATTTTTTTTCTGAAATGCAGATTATATAAATGTCTGGTAGCATGTCATTGCTCTAGAGTGTAACTCTTGAGTTTTTCAGAGGTGTGGCTCAGTAGATGGAAATAAGCTTCAGCTTGACTTGTGAAGGTGGGTTTCAGCTAGCCTTCTTTTCCCCTACACACTCGTGGTGGCCTTCTGCCAAGGCTGGGAGATCTCTTCCAAGAAATTTGCACTACCCACTTGTCCTTCCCCTTGCTCCAGTCAAAATGCTTCAGCTCTGAGGTTGAGGAGCATTTGGCAATGGTGAATAAAAGCTGAGGGATAATAACTTCAATTGCAGAGGGACTCAATCTCTCATTATGATAAAGGTGGCTTCTGCAGTCACAGTTCTTGCTACCTGATGCTGGGATCTGTATGCCCAGCCTAGTGAGGTGTTGCTTCAAAACTTATTTCCATAAAGGAATTGTATCTGAAGAAAAAATGTGAGCTGTCTTGTGACTGTTTATGGTTTGCAACCAGTGTTCCTGCATTGCCATGGTGCCAACATAAACTGGCAGTGAAGCCCCTGACACAAAATCCTGCCTCTTTTTCCTCTGGATAGTGTCACTGCAGCTGGTGGGATGACTCATGTGAGCAAGGTGACTAAGACTTGGCCCCTGAATTTACATTCCTGCAGGGTAGTTTCTGTTACATAAGTTGCCTATGTAGATATGTAAGCTGTAATCAACTATTTAATGAAAAGACCTTAAAAGAGCAGTAAGATGCCAAACGCTTGGCAGCACTCTGAAGAGTAGCTCAGCTTAATTGTACAAGTGGAAAGCATTATGCTGGAAAATGCCCCAGTTTCTCACTCTGCTCCCTCCCTCCCACAAAGCCTTCTGTAGGCTGAAGTAGGATTTAGCAATCTGCTTTCTTAATCCCAAGGAAAGAGAGGTACTTGAGCTGACTGCCTGAGCTGGGGGCATGAGGGTGAAGTGTGTGCAGTGCTAAGCACAGTTAATTATGAGCATACTCCAGCCATAAAAAGCCAACAAAACTTGTCAGTGGTCTAGAGGACTGCTGTGAAAAGGGAGTGTAAAACCTGTCATTAACCTATTCTTTATTTTTCAGGTCAATAAGACATTTGCAAGAGGCTTCAGCAACAGATGGGAAAGGCAAGTAATCTGTAGTCTTTTTCCTCTTTTGTGCTACATGTTATAATGCCAGAATTTCAAACATCTGATGCTGATGTAAAAACCAAACTAAGGCTATACATCTACACTGTATTAGTGCCCCTCTGCTTTTCTCAGTGGGCTCATGGGAGTAACTCTTGGAAAATGACCTTTTTCTTGTATTGCTTTAATTATCAGAACTGCAGTGTATAACCTGTTCTCTGCTCCTTGCACAGCACTCAGTGCTCAAGCTAGACATGACATCTAGAGCAAATCATCTTGACAGATTTGCCATTTTTTCTTCACTTGAGTGTTCAGAAACAGAACTAGAAATGAATTCCAGAATTGCCAACTATTAACCCAAATAGACCCACTTATTTCAATTTCTGCAGAAATGTATTCCTGACAGAATAGAGGGAAATAAACCTCATTATGAAACAAAACATAACTTGGCATTCAGTGTAGCACAGTTCCTGACTTGTCCATGTTTGTGCAGCAGCTCCAAGGCTGCCTGTGGAAAGTGGAGTTATGTTTATTGTAGCACTGAAAAGGAGCTGATGGATGGAAAGGCCAAACATGGCTGCTGTAGAGTGTGCTTTTCCTGCCTTATCTGCTCATTTCTTCTGGATTAGTTCCTTGGATACAAGCTGTGGAGCACAGCACTGGCTTCCTTGGAAGCAGGCAGCCTTTTCCATCTTCTGTCATTCAGTGGTTTACTCTTCAAAGCTTCATTTGTAGAAGGTCATTTGTTGGCAACAGCCTTTTAACTTCAGTCCCATCCTTCAACTCTTGGCTCTCCTTTCTGGAATTCTGTAGCCAGGTCTGGATACTTCTTCCAGCTTTTCCTTGGCTTTCACAGGCATTTCTGCACTTCACTGCTGATTGTAGGTGAAATGTAAGGCTGGGTACTGAACTTAGCTCTGTGCAGACCATAGATTAGTTCATTTTTTGCCATCTGTTAAATTTAAACAATATTTATGATGAGTCAAGCATGCTATCTCGATGTTCCAAGCTGTTAAAAAAGCCACCAAACAACAACCCTACAAGTTACTTACCCCAAACCTAATGGTGGAAAATGACTAATTTCTGACAGAAACAAATGTTAAAAAGGGTAGTTATCAAAGTGTAGTATAAATGTTATTGGAAGCTTTCTTATCAGTGTATTCAGTTGGGTTCAGTGACATTTACTGATGGATTTTTTACCTTGTCCACTGAACATATATTCTGGAGTATTTATGCTCTTACCTTTAAAAAGTCCTGATAAGTTCAGATTTCCTTGAAGCAGTCTTTCTTCTGAGCCAAGGACTTCACACATGTCAGGCCTGGTTCTTAGCTGGGTGGCCATGGATCTGTCTGTCCTGGTGGTGAGCATACAGCAATTTAATGTGCATAATTAAGACAGAAACCCTTCAGATCTGTGTGGCTCCATGTGATCCCCCTGTACCTACTTTGGTTGTTATCACAAGATGGTGCTGTGGAGTTTGATAAACCTCAGACATGCTGAGAAGTGGTGAGGTGGCCATAGCAGGGATGTTCAGATAGGCTCAGCCTGACCACTGTCCCTCATATCAGGTGAAATCCAGATCTGAGTAAATCTAGGCAGTTCTATAGGATGCCCTGTGTAAAAAATGTGGAAGGAAAAAAATGGTAATTTGAGAGGAACTGGCTGTGTCTTTACAGCTAGTCAGTGCTATGCACAGCAGCACTTAAGGTCTGGTTTAGTCCTGTGTTTTGTGCTCTTCTCCATGGATGATGATGCTCTTTATCCTGAATGTTGCTTGTGAATCACCTACTGCTGCTGCCAGCTTTACCTGCTGGTGTTGCCATCTGGTTGTGCAGATCCTGCAAGTTCAGTAACTGTGTATTCAGGGGGACTTAGCAACTATGTTATGCTGCACTGATAACAAAAGAATAACTAAGGAATAGATTTTCAGGGAAAACATTGCACAGGCTGAGAGCAGATTGTGGCTGCAGTGCTGGAACTCACTTGTGAAACACAATCTGGTTGGACTATTTAGAGGCTGTTGATAGGAGCCCACGGGGAGCAAGTGAATGGCAGTGTGATGCCAGAAGCAGAATTCTACCCAGTGCTGTCATGCTGCTTGTGTGTCTGGCTGAGAAAACCAAAACTGATTTGGTTGCACTGTAAAAAAGTGAAATCATTCATGTTAAGCTTATCAATGAATTCTCTTCACTGGAACCACATGCTCTGTAAGCTTCCTTTGGAGGCCTTGTTCTTCTGAGGGGCTGCTCGATGTCTCAGCTTCTCATGGGAATAAAAAGTAAAACCATTGCTTACTATTAAATCATGAGCATTTTTTCCCCTGCAGTTAAAGGCAGTTTTCTCATGAAGTGGTAAAAATTACTGGATTTCCTCATTATGCAGATGAAGTGTCAGCTCATGGTTAGAGCTGGCTGGATTGTGTGCAGATACTGCTAGCTGGGCTGCTTCTGGCCTGCTGGGATTTATTGTCTAGTCAGGGGCTGCTTTCCTTCTTCTCTCACACAGACTTCATTAACTTATAGGATGTTTTGGGGAATTACATACTAGACATTCAATAGCTGTTTTTCCTGGCACTGAGTCTTCTGGTGATGTCCTTGCTGGTGACAAAGACCTAAGGAAAATTATTTTTTCTTCCTTGCATCTGTTAGGACTAACAACTCCAGGATTTTATGGCTCAGTATCCTGGTGTTGTTTCCTGACTGTTTCTCATGCTCTCTTCCAGGCACTTCTCAACCTGTTTATTACGTAGCATTCTCCTGGGTCAGATGGCAGCCATGACTGGAGTGTGACTGGATTAGGAACAAAGCAGATTTGGATTTACCAGGCCTTTAGCCTGGGCTTGTCATAGGCCTTTGTTTTAACAACATACAATTAATAAAAAAGCCTGTTACAAGTGGCACTGATTTGGAGTCATTAGCTAATAGTCATTTAAACTAGATTAGATATTTTAAAAGGAAAGCAAAGTGGGAAAGCTGGAGAAATGGGTCTAAAGCCATAATTATCCAGGGAGACCTTACATACCCAGATGCTGTGGATCACTAGTGAAGAGTAGGCAGGGCACAGTGCTACAGCTGAGTTTGAGCTGCCTGGTTGTTTGCTTTTTTCCCTTGAAGGTGATCTTTAAAGCAGTATATCTGACCTACACAGGCTTCTTATCTTGCACAGCAGTGGGCGTAAACATCCCATTTTTAGAATCTTTTTTCCTCCCCTTTTAAAATCGCCACCTTCAGATTTAAGCAAGTGCTTAGCTACACCTTTGATCTGTCACTGTATCTTCCTTCAGGTGGGAGCCTTTGCTCTCTGTCCATTTGTAGATTTGCATTGCAAATGTCCTGTAGATTTAAGGAAATCAGCCTTGCAAACTGACCTAGAATTGTTCAGCCTGCAAAGCTGCTCAACTGCTACCACCTTTTTTACAGGCATCTCGAGAAAGGAGAGGGAGTATATATATATTACTTGTACAACATTTTTGTTTGAAACTCCGAGTTTTTGGTCACCAGACTCTCAAGTCTCATAGCACACCCTTGTGATCACATCCCCTGTTGATTGAGGGAGGAATGGGGATGGAAAGCAGTTTGTTCTGCTGGTACCTGTGTGTTTGTGATGACAGATGTGACATGGCACAGTCGGATCAGGGGTTGCTGTTTTCCTGGAGCACTGCATTTAGAGTTGGCAGCAGAATTAGGGGAAGTACATGGCAGCCTGTTGCTCCCAGGCATCATTCATTCCCTGTGCTCTGTGCAGTGGGCAAATGATGATTAATGCTTTTGTGCTTGCCCTCGTGTCAGCAAAAACCATTTGCAGTATTCAGTGTCTTCCTGCTGCTGTGCCATGAAAATGCTGTGAGCAAAGGGCCTGGTCCTGTGTGGTGCAGAGCAGCCTGTGCTTGGCTGGGCTCAGCACCCCTTCCAGGTGCCCCTGAGAGCTGTCCAGGGTTGATGTGGCACCTCTGTGCTGGAGATACAGTGCTTATCCTGTACTTTGGACTTTCATCTGACCCTGGTGAAGCACTTCTGTGCCAAATGGCTGATGTGGTTCAGGACATTCAAGATTAATGAGTCTGTGCCACCTTCTTCTTGGTGACATTGAGCCTTGCTCTGCCTGTCTGACCTCTTCTTTCTAGTACAGGAATGCTTTTAAGCAGAGAGCTCCTGCTGTAGAGCCACACTTCTCAGAGTTGCTTTTTTGAGGGTTAGATCTACATGTGCTGCATCACTGGGAGAGAGCAGAAAGCTTCCATTTACAGTTTGATAATGGCAGAAATCACATCTCAAATGCATCAGCGTGAGCAGGGCAAGCCAAGCATTGAAGAAATACTCTCAGCTGTACCTTGAGCACGTTCACAGGCTGCATTATGGTTTTTCTTTATGGATTGTATTGTCTGGGCTCAAGCTTCCTGCACCCTCAGCTGCAATCCTGTGATTGTTATTACATACATATGCTGAAAAGGTTGGATTTATTCATCAAAAGGCTATTGTGTGGTGTGCAAGTGGATGGTCCAGCTTCTTTTTCCATCTTATAGACAGCCTCAACATTGGAAATTAGCATGGGGGCAATCTCAAAAAGAGACTGCTTATCAAAACACTGGGGCCTGCTCTGTTTTGATTGAGGCAGATCAGGCTATTGCAGGCACAAGCTGTTAAAGTAAATGGTGATAGAGAGGGAAAACTGAGGGAAGCAAGGTATAGATGTTATAAATCTTCCGTGGAGGATGGCTTTTATCTTTCTAATTACTGTTTGAAAGAGCATGAATTAATTTCTAAAACCTTTGGTGGAAGGTCTCTTTTTAATTTTTTTTTTCCTTTCTCTGCAGTTAAGTACTGTCCTTTGCAGAATGGTTATCATACTCGAAATACAAATTTACCCAACCTTTACTGCATGCTGTGATTGCTGCTGTGTTATCACAGCCTTACAGGTTTGGGTTGCAAGTGATTCAAGTTGTAAGTGACAGCTGCTGGCTGAGCCTTGCTCCTTGTAAATGCTGCTGTCACTGTCTGGGCTGCCAGGCTGAGGTGAACAGAAATCTTGGAGTGTCCATGATAGCAAGATTCAAATAATACTGCTTGGAGCACATTCAGCCTGTGAAGAAGCAATTCACAAGCTGCTGATGCCAAGCAATGATGATTTTAGATTTTTCTCCAGAACAGTGTGTCCTGTAACTTTGAGTTGTTTAAAAAAAAAACTGGCAGAATTTTGTAGACGTGCATTAATGCTGACTTACATATCTGATAGTGGAGAGAAATATTGCTGCAGTTGAGGAGAGCAAGTCAGCTTCCACAGGTGCCTCCTCAGCCTTTCTCCTTGGTGGTGGCTGTCTTTTTTTCCTCTCCTTGCCCTTCCTTCCCATGCTCAGACATTCTGGATATGTGAATGTATCAATTTATGACTCTTTGCTATTGATTATCATGATGAACAGCTGAGATGTTGAGCTGTGCTCCATCTCTAACTGGGAGAGGTGGAATTACGACACTTCATTTGGCAGTCAGATCTTTGGCTCTGCTGTCCTTTCATCCTGTGCAGTGCATGAATCCAGCAGAAATGACTCCCCAGCTCACTGGTGTTGACTGTAAAGCGCTGATAGACCGGCAGTTTGAATCACAGCTGTTGAGTTGGTGTTCCTTCAGCTGCAAAGCCTGGTAATTCTCCTGGCCTGTCAGTGCACCAACTGGTGGCAGTTCTTGAAGTTGGACGTGTTGAGTTCAAAATAGATCCTTCTGTGTGCAAGCCGGTGTGTGGGAAATCACAAGATCTTCATGGTCACACTTAATGCAGCTCTTCTTTAAATAGGACAATATTGCTTTCCTGTTTCACAATTCACTGCACTTATGCATATTTACATGCTTTCATCTTTCACCAACTCTATTAGGAAAACCTTTTAACTTCAGATCATCAGTCAGTTCATGCCTTGTGTTGGTCAGGTTGCTGCTCTTAGTGTGTCTGCCGGAGGAGGGTTTGTATCTGGCTGAGGTGTCTGCAGCTTTCAGTAGTACCCCAGGAACACTAAAGGTAAACTGGAAAGGGACATTTGATCTTCAGATTATAAAAGTAGTTTAATAACAGAATGCTGTCTGTCTTCACTGTAGTTTCTGTAGTGGGAACCTACAGGAATTTATTTGCAGTGGTGCATTTGACACTTCCTTTGCATAAGAAAAGCTGCTTTGTTGTCAGAGGAGGTGAAGCATTTCTTTGGGAGCTATTAGCTCTCCTTTCCCTCATCTGAAATACTGTATTTTGCTGTCTTGTGAACCTGGAAGACCTTACATGCAAATATATGCAGCCTTTTATAAATCATTGCAGTGGGTGAGTTCTGTGAGGGGGTGCAGGTGAACTTCAGCTCGATGTATTGCACTTCCACATCTGATAAATCCATTATGAGGACTTGGAGGGAATACCAGTAAATATGTGGCAGCTCATGTTCATTGGCTCTGAACTGCATCTCTGTATGCTGTCAACAGATCTTGGACTCTTTGCCTCTCATGTTGTCACAAAAGCATCAGTGGCCTGTGTTTGTAATCCTGCTGCACATCTAAAAGCTGACTCTGACCAGAGCTGACAGCTGCTCCATCTGTTGTTGACCTCAGCTGGTTCACACGAGTGCTCTGTGCTCTCCAGCTGATGTGATGTGTGCAATAAGAGCAGGTTTGCCCCAGGCCTGGGCTGGCACATTTGGGGAGCTGCTGGGGATGATTTCCTGCCTCACTTGTGAGTTGTGCCTGAGCCATGATAGAGGTCCTTGCTTAGGTTTTCAAGTGCTTGGGCTGCTGTCCAGCAAGGTGCAGTGGTTCCCAGAGCTGTGATTACCTGCAAGTTGTTCAGCTCGGCTGTAGGCATGGAGCAGGTCAGGGAGGGCTCTAGAAAAGACAGGAATTTTCTAGGAGGCAGTGTCAGGTGGAATGGCCCTTCTGGCAGGAGAGAGTGACAGAATGTAGTTGACTGTACACAGGTAGAGGAAGGTTCTGTAATGTGGAGTGTGTGCATATAAAATTTAGAGACTGCAAAAACAGTCTCAGTTCCCTTTTTGAGAGTGAATTCACTCCAGCCTGGGAGTTATCCTGTATGAGCACATGCCAGGCTGGCACTCCTGACAGAAATCCTTCTAGCCTGGGATTACCTGAGTCTGGTTTTGACCACTTGCCTACCCTGCAGACAGGCATCAAAAGAAATTGTCTCATGTTAACCATTTTCTGATGGACTTTTGTGTTCTCTTGATAGCTGCCATTAACCTAGCAAAGCTGAAGCTCTTCAGACATTACTATGTCATGGTAAGTAAAACACCTGCACACATGCATGTGGGGAACTTGGAAGCTTTTCAAAGCTTTTGATGGAATACTTATTGGAAACTACTGCAGCTGATGAATGTGGTAGAGGCTCTTGGCACTGCTGTGCTTTGGCATCTTGGTCAACTGGCTTACAATCCTAAAAGCAACTTCCTTTTTTCTCCTAATGGTTATATCCTTCTGTCTCTCTTTAAATTCCAGCTATTTGTAATGCTTCCTGATTTCCTCTGGAGACAGCTTGAGCTGCCAGTTGAATTGATGGGCTTGAATAACATACTGTAAACTTGCTAAAAATTAAACTTGGGACCAAATGGTGCCTGGAGATGCATGTGTGCAGTTCCTGATTAAGTCAGTGGGAGCCATGAGTACGTTTCCCAGGAGAACACAGGCTTCTTAATGATTTCCAACGGCCTCATTTCAAGCTCTCCTAAGTGGCAAGAGTAATAAATTACACTTGTGATTCTTGAAATTCTATGAAATTGTAATACTTAAAGCATTTCCTGCTGTAACTTGAGTATGTTACCAATAGTTTGAGTTATTGGATGTTCAACAAGCAGTAGAGTCCTCAGCCTAGATCTTCCATGTTTAAGGAGCATAATAAGGCTAGTCTGCCATAATGAGTTGTCTGGGAATTGCTTGAGTTATTTCTCTGGGGTAAGAAGGTTCTATAAGGATGGTGCTATTGTTCTCATGCTTTCTCCTTTTCCTTCCCAGATTGTGTGTTACATTTACTTCACACGGATCATTGCAATTCTCATAAAGATTGCTGTTCCATTCCAGTGGAAATGGCTGTACCAGGTATTTGCCAGCAAAGGAAAATACATCAATTTCTTGATGTTTTTCTCTATTATTCTTTAGATATAACTACACAACAAAATACCATGAAATGTTCCTCATGTTGTACTAAAACATGTCAAAGCACAGTGCAGTACCCTGCCTCCTCTTGATTTTATCACTGATGTGCTTAAGGTGAAAGAATATATTCTTAGTTTTATGTTTGTCCAGCAAGGCTGCTGGATTATACATGAGATGTCTGAAAGTAATTGCATTATTGATTTTCAGTCTTTCAATTTAAAAATGTCTGAAGGAAATTAATCAAGAAGATACAAAGGAGAAAAAATTACTCAGGTTTGCTCTATGTAATTGAAGCCCGAGGGAGCCAGGGAAATAGGCTTTTGCTCTTCCATCCACAGGCTTCTTTTGCCAATGGACTTCTAAATACTTGGTTTCTTAACACATAATCCAAGTAACTGTGCTGGGAGTCCTTGGAATACATTAACTGTTGAAAAAACTAAGCAAGGTAAGGATGATTCCTTCCCCCACCATTTAAAAGCCAAGTCTTGCCATAGTTCTTTGAAAGCTCTGGAGAGATGGATAGAGCTGTAACTCTATTTAAAGTGGCAGGAAAAACTGAAAGAACAAAGGATTTGACAGCCTTTAGCCTGGGATTAATGACAACCAGACAGGAATTGTTTTATTTCTGCTGTGGCCCAGGCCTCTTGGCCATTAAACCTTGAACCTTGTGAATGAGGAGCAATGTTTGGTGACCACAGAGCATAGCAGGACTGAACTTCAATCTCGTGTTTTCACTTGCAGCTGCTGGATGAAATGGCCACGCTGGTGTTCTTTGTCCTCACTGGGTACAAGTTCCGTCCAGCATCAGACAACCCTTACCTACAGCTCTCTCAAGATGATGAGGATGACTTGGAGATGGAAGCTGTGTAAGAACCCCTCTCCCCTTTATTTACCTCTTCACTTGATTTGAGAAAAGTACTGTTTAAAACCATTTACTTTAATCTCTCCAAATCCTTCTGTGACAAAGATGAGGATCTGCCCACGTTTAAAGGGGAGGTGTCTGGGTTGGTGTGTGTAAAGAGATTGGTGGTGTGCCCAGGAGCCTCTGACCTGGATATTGCAGTAGTGTGGAAAAAGCTGGTAAAGCTTTTCATGGGGCAAAAAGATGCCTGTGAAAATGTGAACTAAGAAAGCTTTTAATTTTAATTTAGATCATGGAACATGAATGAGTTTTACAGTTCTTCATTAATGCTTCATATTTAAAATAACTCAAGTGAACAACAAAAATGACCCGCCAATCTGCGGAACGTAAATAATAATAAATGTGTAAAAATAATAATAAATAGATGAACAGGGTGCAAAGTGCCTTCTGCCTTGGTGTTCAGCATATAGCTTTGCAAAAATTTATTTTAAGCAACATGGAGCCAAGGAGATGGATTTTTATCAATATCTTCCCTGGTTTATTCCCTGCTGTGAAACCACGAGGCACCACAAATGCTTCAGGACCTGAGCTAGTCTGGAAAAATTATACAGCAGGGCTCAGGCTAAGTCTCTGTCATTTTCTTTGCAGTGGTTTTCTGAGGACTTTAAAAAAATTGAGTGGCATTTTTGAATGTGTGATTAAAAATGCCCTAAGAAATTCAGCCTGCCAGGGGTGTTGGATACAGCTTTATGTGCCCCAGAGTCTGCAGGAGCAGAGCTGACCTAATCCTTTGGTAGTCACAGGTTTGTTGCATAATTGCAGTTCATGTACAGGCTCAGAAGCCTGTTCCTAAGAGTTTTTCCAGTTTGGCAAATCTCCTTTACCTGGGTGAAATAAATCAACACTGTTTTTATTACAGAGGCAAAAAAAGTCCAAATGTGTTTGCTGTCATAGGTAGCTCAAAAAGAAATTAATCTTATTCGAAAACTGCTACAAGGAGGTTTGAATCATAGAATCCTGGCTGAAATGTCATGTAAGGAGTTTAACTTCTCACAAATATGGCTAGTAACAAAGATCTTTTTAAATGCTTAGCTATTTTTGCTTCGGGTCTAGGAAATCTGTCATTTTTGCAAGTGGAATCCAACTAGTGGGTAGTGACCTTAAAATCACTATCACTTACATGTGTTGAAATGGTTTATGTAAGAAACTGGTCTCAGTTTGGAAGCTGTTTCATAAAAAAGCATTCACATCAGGAAGTCACTGTCTGAACTGGCAGGATTTGTGATTGTACCAAAACAAGCTCTTTCTCTTTTTGCCTGTTAGAGCGAATTTCAATTTTGTATTACGTGCTTAATGAATTTTTACTTGTGGGGGTTTTGCTAGGACTAATAATAGGACACCTTTCAAATACAGTGATTTTAGTCAATTGAGAAGTTGCTAAATTTAGAAGAATGTGCCAGAAATGAGCTGGAGAAAGTTTAATGAAGTAATTCAGTGATTTACATCTCATCATGAGATAGACGTTGCTAAAAACTCAAGGGTTAGAATTCCTTGTAAGCCTTTTCCTAGTAAGGCATTTTGCTCTTTGCTTTGGGAGTTTCCATTGTTGCACCTTGTGGGTTGTTCCCCTAGCCTTGCTTGAATTTTCTGATCTGATTCACCAGAAGTTTTTTTCCATTTGGGCACTTGGCAGGGTATAACCTGTGTCTGGTTCTCCCTTCCCCAGCTCCATCAGGAAGGTTACTTTTGTAGATATTTGAAAAATAGAGTTTATACACATTCTGAGACAGGTGAAGCAGTGCTATGGATGTGTATTAAATTTCTCATTGATTTGGTCTTGCTGGTCCTGTTTTTGTCTTCATAAATATTAAATGTTGTTTCTGTGGGGGGGAAAAGATACCTGGGTTTATTTGAGCAGGTGACTAAGCATCTGTCAGTGTCCTGACTAACCACTGCATGACTGTTTTGTCTTTCATGTGATAAATTCCACTTGTCTTTACAGGCTATGGCAGAAACAAAAAACCTGCGAACTTCATGGTGTTCTGCTATGTCATTTTTATTGTTATTTTCCTCTTCCAGAGGGTTTTTGTTTAAAATCAGGCTCTCTAAAACAGAAGCATTCAGTTCCTTTAGATTCTACATTTCTGTGAGCCAACAGAGGGGAAAACTGTGAGGTTATTCAAACCTCTTTTCCAAGCTTGTTTGTCTTCCATTAAAAAAAATTAGGACATTTTAAGTGCAGCTCTCTAGTTTGGGTCTGTTTTCATGCATTGCAAATGATACAAATCTCGGTCTGGCAGTAAATGCAAATATTGTTAAGGACATTGGAAATCTGGAAAGTTTCAAGAAAAATCTGCAAATTAGGTGTCTGCACAGAAGCAACACAAGGCACAAATCCTCTCTTTGTAAGTCCTTGTAGCTCTCAGGAATACAATACAAATCAAGAATAGCAAAGGTAACTCTGGCTTGGGGAAAGGATCCACAGACTTTGCTGGAATCTCTTCAGTTGTTCCAGGCTCCACAGAAGTTGCCCTGGCAGGGAGGAGAGTGTGACTAAAGCTGAGCTAAGGACCTGTCTGTCCTTTTTCAAGCAGGTTCAATAGCCATTCATCATCAGCAAAGTGGCTTTCTGTGTATTCTGTGCTGGGCAGCCTCTTGAGTTCTGTCAGTACGTGGGCTCGTCGCTGACAGTTTGTTAGATTAAAGTTCCCTGCTTGAAAAGGTGCAGCCACACTTGGCAGAAAGAGCTGTCAGGCTTCCAGTCCTAATGCCATTTCTGGGGCATGAACACAAAAATATGAACAGTACAGTGGGTGAGGTGAGGGTGAGGAAGGGGAAAGGAAGAATTTTTTGTTGTTTTGGTTTTTTTTTTTTTTTTTAATTTCATTATCTTGGTGAGCTGGATATCAAAATTCTCTTTAGCAGGTCTTGGTTGACAATGATGTTCATGCATGCAGGGGAGGTTAAGATATTTCCACTGGAGGAGGGATTGCAAGTTGGTAAATCCATCTTACTCAGTGTGTGGAGACTTTGCTTCTCCTTAACACCCAAAACAGCCTCAACACAGGGAACTGTTGTGGTAACACTGATCTTTGCTTATGCCTTGGGATCTGGAGTTTCTCTCTGTGTCATGAGGCAGCTTATTCTGTGCTGAGATTTGATGAGCTGCTTGGTTGTTTTTCTCTGCTTTCTCTCAGGTTGTGCTTCATGGCAGACTGAGTCATGGTGCTCTCCATTAGCAGTGATTTTCTTCACCTAGCACATGCTTTGCTTGCAGAGATCAGCTTTTTTGCTCTATGGCTGATCAGTTTTCACTCCAGTTTGCAATAACTTGGCAGGGGCTGGCTGCTGCCAGTATTGCAATGTTTCTTCTTGGACTATAAAACAAATAAATAGGAGAGAAGACATTGAAATCCACCACTGTGGAGAGCTGGAGATACTTCTGAATGTTTAGCCATTCCTTGATACCTTGGATACAATGCAGGAGAAAAATAAACCCCATGAAATCTCTGCAGCACATACCACTGTGTGATGGAGTGCTTGGGGAACTCCTTCTCTGCCTCATTTGTGACAGATATCCCTCTGGCAGGCACAGAAATGCTCTCTGGAGAGGGATGGTTCAGTGAGAAGGATTTGTTGCGTTTTAACTGCTGCTGATTTGTGGGCTGGAAATGCAGTTCAGCAGACTGCAGGTGAGGAACGTTTCCCTGCTGTATTGCAGGTCAGAGCTGAAGTGCTGAGATTGTTCTGAGGATGATGAGGATTTCAGTGTGCTTGGTCTTAGTGCTGCTACCCTTATTCTATGGGGCACTAAAATGTGATGACTGGACTGATTTTGAGAGCCTGTTGTACCTGAACAATCTGAGCAAAGGAGGGAAATGAGAGCTACTTCATGCACTTGTCACGAGACAAGAACGGTCTCTTCGGTCTTCAGATAGGATTTAACCTTCACTCTTGGAGAATCCACACAGAAATCTCTCCCAGATATTTGCTGTTACTGAGGGGGGACACAGTAAATGGCCTTTCTGGTAGCAAAGGCTGTGATTTGATCTGCCTGCACTTTCAGTGTGTAACTGTGCCACAAACATGGGAAGTGGATCTTGCCTTACTTCTGTCACCACCTTGGTGTGCAGGGGCTCCCTGATGGCATTAGAGTGCAGTGCTGGAATCTAGGCTGTGTGCCAGGTGGGATCTTCCCAGCTGTGAGTCAAGTGTTGGGACTGCTTTGGTGTCATGCATGTGTGAAACAGCTCTTTATATATCCCAGTGTCTCTGCTGCTGCATTGCTGTGTGAGATGCTCATTTCTGCTTTGTAGTTCATGGCAATCTCCAGCTCCTCCCTGAGGAATGGATACTTAGCTCCTCATTCTGTAATTATGAAGTTGATTATTTCTGAAGAGTAAACTTGGTAGCTGTCTTGCTGCATCCTCCTGTACTTTTCAGGCTATTACTTCAATTTGCCAGAATCTTTCTGCATTCTAGTCTTGTTCTCCAGTATGTAACTCTTAGTGTCTTGTGCAGATTTAATAAGCAAGTTCTCTATTCCATTACCCAGGCAATTACTGAAAATACTGAGTAGAAGTGAACCCAGGACAGGCCTCTCTGGAACCACACTCAATGTTCTTACATTTTTGACAGGAAACCATTAAGTAAATCTTGATGCATACTTTTCCAATTAGTTATCCATCTACTTTGGTTTTGTCTAGCTTATGTTTCTCCAGATTTTTTCCTATCTGACTGTGGGAAACCTTTGGCAACAGGGAGAACTTAAAAGATCTGCCTGCCTCTGTACTGATTAGTTTGATCTCTTCAAGGAAATGTTTATTGTTTAATAATTCCATTTTTCTCCATTAAGCAACCTGCTTACTTATCTCTGTACTTGCCTTTTTTTAATTTAGTTGGGAAAAAAAGTTATTTGATCTGTACTCTTGTGACCTTTTCCTATTAACCCAAGCTCATCTAGGCCCACTCTAAAGTGAGAACCAGTGATGATCCCAGTATGGCCACTGCTGGAATGTCACTGAACACAGCAGGCTGAGCAAATTATTTTTACAGTACATGAACAGAAGCTGGGATCTAACGTGGAACTAAGGGAAAAGAGGAGTGTTATCTGAAGATGACTTCTCCTCTTGGGGTGATGCTGAGGAGATGTTGTTAGCAGCTCTGATCAAATAAAGTACTCTGACGTGGTAAACAGCAGGTGAAAGTGCTCACAGAGCAACAGGGGCAGCTTTGAACAGGACAGGTCTGCGTGTGCTTCCAGGCATCCCTTGGGCATGCACTGAGCTGTTGGCACTCTTACCTTCAGCATCCAAAACAACCTTTGTGGCATGTTTGTGGGGAAAAAAATACCTGTATGGAATAAGAATCACACTGTGCAAAAGAATAAAGGAAATGTGTTGTGCATCCAGATTGCCTGTTTGGTGTAGCAGCAGAGAAAAGCTGCTGGGCTGAAGAGCTGTTGGAGAGCCAAGGCAGTTCCAAGAGGAATGGTGCTGTTCTGCCTGGATAAACAGTTCAGTCTGCCTCATATTGAATGGTATTGTGAGGCTTTGTACTTCAATGGTCAGATTGCCATGACAAATCCAGACTTGGATGGTATACAAGGATGACTTCTTTCTTTTTTGTTGCTGCTCATTTTGCTATTAAGAGGAGCTGGTGTGCATTAAGCTAATAAGGTTCATCTGGGGCACTGTCCACTGTGTATTTGTGTAATGTGCTGTACCTATTAAAATGCAGAAGAAAGTCACAGAAGTAAGGGTGGTCAGCTGCATAGTAAATGGGGTTTTTAAAGTGAACTGCTCAAATTTAGCAAATAAACACCTGGTTTAACTGTTTTACCACCCCTGTTACCTTTTTTGAAGTATGAACCAATATTACTTGCTGCTTTAGTTTAGTGATAGATGGGAAGGGCCTTGAGGTGTTCAAGGACAGTGGCTGTGCTTCCAACTCCCATCTGTGCTGTGTCAGGGTGGTACAAGAGATCAGACATGGACTGCTCAGTGTGGGTCAAGAGATGTGAGAAGTGTTGTTTGATGGGTGTGAGCTGTTGCTGAAAAGGATTTTACAGTTCAAGGCCTGATGTCTGATGCTTCTCCCTTCTCTTCTAGGGTGACAACTTCAGGAGTAATGGAGGGCATGAAGAAAGTCAAGAAAGTGGTGAATGGTTCAGCAGAGCCTCAGGGCGAATGGGAAAGCACAGCGTGATGGACTGGACTAAGGCAGCACTTTCAGAGAAACTTTTTTAATTTATTAATATTACTCTCAGTGGAAAGGGAGCAACTTGCACTCCCCACCACTGAAACTGCAGAGTGGGGTGTGTCTAGGGAGAGCAAAGCAGTGCAGAAATATAACTATTCCTTTGATCATAAGAAAATGGGATCTCCTGGTACCTGCAAGGAGCGTGAAGCTTTCCTAGGGATTTTGGGTAGCTTTTTTTCCCCCCTTTTCTGGATTGGTTCTTTATTCTGAATTGTTGTGTTCCTCAGAATGTGTAATACTAATGTGAAGAGGGATCTTCAGTGTGTATGTAAAGAATATATTTTATATAATGCTCATATATATATACACACACACACACACTTGCTTTGTAACATGAATGCTGGGACTTGGAAAGCCTGTCAGAAGGTGGGAAAAGAAGATAAAGACATGTAAGTATTTTTTTTTCCTTTTTATAAACTCTCCTTTTGGCTTGGATGGAACATTGCAAAACAAATGGATAGGAACAACTGCAGTTATTTGAGAGACTGAACGGGTATTGGATCAGATGACTTCTGCCACTGCTCATGCAAGTGTGAAAGGTGATAAGTATCTTCTTGTCTTATCCCTGCAGGTGTCCACCTGAATGTGTCAGGTTTTCAGATGTGTTGCTATACAGGAAATGAGTGACTATTCTCCATTAAAGCACTAAGCCCATAGTGCAATAAGTATTTATGTACGTTGTCCACTGTCCCTGGAGTTGCTCTTGACTCACCCCTACCTGACAAGAAGTACACAAGAGGTGTAAGACTGATGCTTGCTTTTTAGGGGTCTGCCTAAATGTTTACTTTCAAGCTGTGACCCAGAGCACATTGGTTTGCTTCATAAAATATTTTCAAGGTATTTCAAAAGTCACTCCTTTCTGGCACAGTATAAACAGTACCAGACTCTCCAGTGCAAATCTGTCTAGGCATTTTACTGCAGCATAAATCTCTGGTTCACAGTTACCCTGAGTTACTGGGCCTCTCTGGCTGTGTAGGATTAATAACACTGCTGTTTGAGGTGAGCTGAACTGGTCAAAGTAGTATTGCCACCAAAAACAGTAACTCCCAGTCCTTTTTTTTTTTTTTTTTTTTTTTTTTTTTTTCTTTTTTTTTTTTTTTTTTTTTGTCAGGAGAGGAGAAGATTATGACCAGAACCTTGATGCAGGGGAATATGCAATCTTTGACTGTTAGCTGCAGATTTGCAGTGGAGTCTTTACAGACACATTCCAAAATGTCACATGTGTTTTCTCTGTAGTCCCTGGGGCTGTCAGTAGGGCAGTTGTTGTCCAAAGCTGTAGTAGTGAAAATGGGTGCTCATCTGGGGGAGGATGGAAGTGGCTCAGTGGTGGAATGAGGATTAGCTTTAACAAAAATAAATAATCTGTAAGTCACTGACCCACTGAAGCCTTAATATTCATGCAGAGACATTGACATTGGTGCTGTGGAGCCAAGTGCTTCTGCCAGGGTGTCAGGGAGAGCCTTCATCAGAGCTCTGGATGTGCCAGCATTGCTTACAGACTCGTTCAGGAATTGGGTTTATTTTATTCTTCAAGCTGAGAAGGAGGATTTCCTCCAGAATCTTGAACCACTTCCTCACTCCTGAGCAGGGATTGTGGAGCTCTTGGTGAGCTGTCTGTACCAAGCCTTGCTGTTTGAGGAGCAGCATCCCTTTCCCCCATTGCCACTTCTTTTCCCAGGTGTTGGTTCTATGCACCATGGAGGTGGTAGAAACAAATCTACCTGCTTTGATACCTGGAACTGCTTTCTCTTCAGATAAAGCACAAGAAGAAGAGCATTTGTCTCTGGCTGCAGAATCCTCTTCTGTTTTCCTCCTCAGCTGTAACTTCACAGTACTCACAGCAGTGATGGTTTGACCTTGCTGTCATTGCCTTGCATTGCCTCACAGTTTTAGTGAGAAGAGATCCTGTACCACTGGAAAGGCTGTTTGGTGACCTATGAGCCTTTAGGCCTTCTGGAGGAAGAAATCTACATATTTAGCCTGAAGTGTGAGAAATTGGACCATAAACAAACACTGGCAGTCTCAGCTCTTACATTTAAATGCAATACCTGGAAAATTCATCCTCTGCAGTTGCTCTGTCCCTTGTTACTCCCTGCATCCAAAGGGCTCCTCAAACAGGCTGTAAAGTTTCTTCAGAGAAGCCCACTGAAGACTTGAAGTGTGTTGGCACTGAGGTATGTAAGGGATAAGGATGTGCTGTCAGGAACAGATTGCATCTGGACAATGCTATTCTAGAGCCTGTAAATCCTTTTGTGAATCAGATGTGAAATTGTCATAGATGTGGCCTTTCACCCAGAACCACGAGGGCTGTGCTGTGATCCCAGGGAATGCTGAGCTGCTTCCAAACAGCTGCCTATTCCATACCTCAGCATCAGTGGAGCTGACAATTTGGCAAGTGCTGTTACCTTAGTCTCAGGTTTCTTTTTTTTTTTTATACGCAGTTTTTTTCTAAAGTTGCATATGGTGTAGGTTTATCTGCCAAGTCCCTGCCTCACCAGTCAAAGGCCAAAAAAATGGGTCATTTCTTTTTGTCTTGGCATGAAAGGCCACAGCAGTATTCTGAAAGTCCATTTTTTTACAAGAGCTTTTTTCCAAGTTCAGCACTGAGCTTCAGCAGTCAGCTCCACAACCAGCTTCTGCTGGTGTTTTACACAGGATGCCAAGCAGCAGGAAATGGTCAGACCTGAGCCGTTTTTAGGAAGGAAAATCAGTCATGGACAAGTCAAAACCCAAAAGATTCTTATTGTGGCCATTTCCAAAATGAATTTTCTCTGGTGCAATTCCTTGGATCAGGACAGAAAAGTCTGGCTTGATGGATGGGATGGCAGCTGGGAAGTTGGAGGGTGGAGGGGATGGCTGCAGTTGTGCTTCTCTCCAGCACATCAAGTGCTGCACTGCGAAGCATCAAAGACAGGACTGCTCCCTCCCCTCCTTCCCAGGCAAAGCCACAGCTGCCTGACTGGCATTGCATGACTCCAGGGCTGGTGGAGTGCAGCAGCTCGGAGCTCCCCGGGCAGGATAATCAGTGCTTGCCTTTCACGTGCTGATGGCTGCTGATCTGGTAGGAAGCTCTGCCTCTCACAGGGAGGGAAGAGAGGAGCTGTTGTGGATTACAGATCGTTTAGGAATGTGCAGCTTTGCTTCCCTGTCGCTGCTTTCACTGAAGTGGGGAGCTGAAGCAATGGCCAGCAGTACCCAGCAGCAGAGTGACAGGAGTCCTGGAACAGCAGCTCTGCTGCAATAGCAATAAATGCTTTGAATGCTTTCCCATATGCTGCTGCAGCCGAGCACTCAGTCCCCTCTGCAGACAAAAATGAGATTGGTTCAGGCTTCACTTGTAATGCAGGTTATGCCCCAATAAATCCCTGGGGATGCTGACATGCACATGGCACTGCTGCACTCCTTCCTGCCGGGGCTGCTCAGCAGGCTGTCTTCCAGAGGAAGCCTCCTTGCAGTGCAACTGCCAGACTCTTGCATTCTTCGGGCTGGAAAATGTTTTCCTTGATGGTTCATCAAGAGACATACTAAAAGAAAGCAAGACATAATGGGGTCATGTGGAACAGTGCTGCTGCCTGCTCAGAGTGGAGCAGTTGGAGTTGAAGAAGCCACATGCTGTCCTATTAAGATGCTCTTTCATGCTGTCGTCTCACTGGGCGTGCTGTGATGTGTGCAGTGCATTGTTCAGTGTTTCCCTCCAGCTCAGTGCCCTGTTCCTGGATTTCCATGCTGGCATGCCCTGGGAGAGCTTGTTGTAAAAATTTGCTGCATTGCAGCATTTTGTCTGGAGCTTGTAGTGTGGAAGATGTGTTTTTTCTAAGCTGAGTGGACTCTTCTCTGGCATGAGTGTGCATCCACCATGTATCCTTGAGCACTGTAGCATTCCTTGTGGCAGTGAAAGGCCATGCCCTCCTCATTCCAGTGTGCACATCTGGTGCAAGTCCTCTAGAAGATTTTTTGTGTTGTCTTTTTTCCTTACTGTGTGTTCCTCTTAGAGAAAAGCAGTTGAGCCACTGACAATCAAATTGATGAGAAGGGAGGGGATTTTGTTGTTTGTTTGAAAACTGCCCAATTTGAAGGAAATACTGGGTATTGTAAGCTCTTTTGAGCTCTGAGAATTGAAGTTCTTTAGCTATTAAGGAGAGGGAAGGAAATCTTTCTTCCTTTAGCCTATTTGGTTTGTCTCCTTCAATTTGACCTGTCATGCTAGCTAACAGATTGCTGTCACTTTAAAGAAGATGTTTTATAGCCCCTGTGTTATGATCTCTGCTTCACTCATAGAGCACATCCCCATTTTTCACCCGTGTACAGAGTGAGGAGCTGTGGTCTGCTGGAGTGGGAGGTGCAGTGAGGTTTGAATATAGTGGGACTCACTGAAACTGTGACCTTGTGTGGAGTGTCAGTAGCCTCAATGTTTCATGAAAGCTGAGGTGGTGCTGCCCAGAGACACTTGACCAATGTTTCTTTGTGTTCCCTGGGGCTGATATGCTGTAAAACGTTCTAAATTGAATTAATTTGGCTTCTTTTTTGTAGCTGCTGGATACCATACCTTTGGGCTGATTAATCACTTTTCCTTGGCAATATTGGGAAGCTGTGCATTTTCCCTTTGTAGTGTCTTGCCTGGATATAGCAGTGATCCAGTGAGAACTGCACATGATCTCTGCTCCCAAGTGGCTGGAACAGGATGTAGGAAAATATCAATACTCAGGTGTTGAGTGGTGTAGGAAGAAAGTGGCTGAGAAAAGAGTCACTCCTTTCAGGCTGACTGGCTCGAGAACCCATTTGTGTTTTGACTGCAGCAATCCTCTAGAAAGGACAATTCTAAATAAATATTTCCCTGTGGGATTTCACTCAGTGTTCTGCTCTCTGTGTATTAAAGTAGAGTCCAACCTCCACATCATCACAAGCATTCATCCTGTAGCCAGTGGAGCTGGTACCTGCTCTTAAAACAGAGTATGGGTCTAAATAGCTTCCCTTGCCCTTTAGGAACTATTAATAATTAATTCTAGATCCTCTTGTGTCATTAAGCAGCTTTAGGGCACCTTGTACAATGTAGCTTTGAATTCATTTAGTAAATGACCTCCAGAAGAACTAAAAAATACTTTTCTGTGTACAGCAAGGTCCAATTCTTGGGGTTTTAGTGACCTGTAAATATCCTATTCCTCAGTTCCTGTTCAGATGTAAAAATGGATTTTTTTTCAGTATTTTTTTAAACTTTATTAAAAGAAAAGCAAACAGTATTTGAAGAGAAGCAAGGTAGAGACAAGTCAGGACAGTCTATGTAACTTGGTTTCCCTGCTGTGGTGCAAATGTGTAAAATAAAGATTGACCAGAAAGAAGTTTTTAATGCATCTCATTTTCTCCTCCTGAACTGCCAGCAGCCAAGCTGACCCATTGTTCCCAAAGTCTGCATTTCCCTCTGCTCAGCTTCTGTTTCCAGCCATCAACATCTGCATCATGGATTCAGGGCCAAATCACAAAAGTTGTGTGCAAAACTTCTTTTGAAGGAAAAAGTTTTCCTGTCAGTGACCCAGTGAGGTTCACTGAGGTGCCTTTTGTTGAGCTCCAGCTACTGGAGCTGTGCTTGTGTGTGCCCAGCTGCTCTTTTAGTTTTGCAAGCTGAACTTGGGCAGTGTTTGTGGACTGAGTCTTGAACAGAAGTGTTTCTCCCAGCCCTGTGTCTCCTGCAGTCTCAGGCAGGCAGGATTTCAGGAGCATCCAGGCTTGTTGCTGCTCCCCAGCCCTGTGGTCTGTGTGTTCTCTGAACCTTGGTGTCCAGATACAAATTAGGGATATAAGGTTACTTTTAAAGTAATATCTCTGGTGGATCTGGCCACACTATCTCAGAGGGGCAAGTCCTTGATCTATTTTAAGTTAGACTGGTGGTGATTTGGGATGTCTGTAGTTGTGTTCTTCCTGAGGTGTTGGGATCTAACCTTGCATTTAATTCTGCAGACTGGTTGGGTTGACAGGGATGAGGAGGGCACAGCATTCCTGTGAAGTGTTCTTCTTGATCATCCCCATCCTGCAAAAACATATGTCCTTCAGCACAAAATTCCAGTCTTCAAGATGTTTCTTACAGTTCAGCCTGTGGTTCTCATCCTGCCACCGAGGGGTAATGCCAGAAACAGCCTCTCTTCTCTACTCTGCACCTCCCAAGCAGCCAGTTCTCAAGCCTCTGGGTGGGTGGTGTTTTACCAGGGAGCTAAATTATAAAAAGTACTTGGAATTTGGATTTCCTAATACCTCACTGTAGGTTAGAACTAACTTTCCTGATGCAAGTGGTCGCTGGTTGTTGCTCTGGAGTGGCCTAAATCTCTTTAATGCAGGTTTCTCCAAACTGAACATCCTCTGCATATTCTGTCTGTTGTGTATTTGG